ACTAAAGTCTACATCCATAAAAGAAGAAAACAAACAAGCTAGAATCGACACAATATAGGTCTCCTCTCTGTTTGCATATCTGTTAGGGAGACTCCTTAAAAAAGGAACAAAAGGCCGAACACCATCAATGCTAGAAGAGATCACCAATGAGGACCAGGTCATTGACCAGTGGAAGAGGGGTAAAGTTGTCTTCAATATGATCACCTTTTTCAAGTTATCCGCTTTCCACAGCAAATACCACCTTCTCAGAGGACTTCCAAACAGTGCTTTTATCCAGTTTTCTCAAATGCTAAACAAAGCTGATTGACGTCAAAAACAACCAAAATGCTTCTACCAAACATGGAGTTTCACATTCCCACCTGCACTTGGCTAGGAAAATTTTTACTTCTCCCCAATTAATCACTACCTTAATTCTTTTTGAGGTTTCCTTTATTAATATATAATGAATTCAAACTTTTAATATTATAAAAACTCCTTAATTACTTAAATTTATTTATTACTCCGCACACATAAGATGAAGAAACCACTGAAAATGATAATTCTAGCAACTGTCTTTAGATATTATAATGGGCAAGAACTATTACTGGATAGTGATATTATACTAACTAAGCCTAATCTCTATGGCCAAATATGTGGCAATGGATATACATTCCACCTCTCTAATGTCAAAGGTACTGACAAATCCGCATACCTAATAGAGTCATCAACACACACAAAAAATTTGGTGATTCCCAGCTTGATCAATATCTAATGACTTTTTTGGTCCCCCCACGTGTTATACTTTTTCACATGCAATCATACTTGCTGGTGATCCATAATTTGAATGCCCAACTAGCATTCCTACATATTCATTCATAATTAGGTTTGGGCAATCAGCTTTCAAAAGACTTATAATTGCTACTTGAGATTACCTCAAATATATATGATTTTCTGTATCCAATATATATATATATATAAGATAGGATTTTTTGACATCGGTATCAAATTTGAAATTTGACACCTCATCTGAGAGCTGTTAGATCAAAAAAGATCAACGGTGTCAAAAGATCCTATCTCATATATATATAAAATAGCGGACTTAGAAATTTTTTTTAATGTCTGCACATTTACAATAAAAAAATAAAGAAAAAATTTTAAAGAAAATTTTAAATATATTAAAATATAAAAGAATATATAAAAAAAACTAATTTAATAAAAAAAAGTAATCAAGAGTCAACTAAACTGTTACAATACAATATTTTAGGTCATCAACAAAAATTACGGGCCTCAATTTAATCTCTTACGGGAAAAAAATCTACTCGTGATACTTCAGAATTCAAAAATAGATCCAGATAATCAAAATCATGATCCTCTGAAATTCAAAAAGACCCACATTAATCTCTCAAAAGGACTAACATGAGATTATTTTGAAATTTAAAGGGATCACGAGTCAAATTTTTTTTAAGAAATTAAATTGAATCCTATAATTTTTGTTGATGATCCAAAATATATTTTATTCTTTTTGTTTTTCAAAAAATTTGTGTGTGCACTTGCACACACTTGCACTAACCTACGTCCGCCATTGTATGTGTGTGTGTATATATATATATATATATATAATTTTCTATTATAAGTGGTTTGGCCTATATTTGTTACATTTCTATTCTAGGTGAGGGGAAACTCTTTATCTTCTTCTATAGTATTTTTCAATAATAAGATGAACAACATTTAGGGCATGCTTGGTGCATAGTATAGGATAAGGCCTGATAGTATAAGACCTGATAATATAAGGCCTGCTTGTATAAGATCTGATTGAATTTTAATACTATCCAGCGTTTGGCACAATATTGTATAAAATAATATATTGTATAAGATAATATCATCTAGTATTAGGTAATGTACTGTATAATACTATATATGATAAAAATAAATATTTTTAATGAAAATATCTTTTAATAAAGAATTTATATAATTCTTCAAAAAATGTCGCATGATAATAATTTTTATAAAAATTTATTGATCATTGTGTCCAAAATATAAATTAATTTTTATAAAAATAAAAATATTCAATATTTTAAAAATTAATATATTAAAAATTTAATTTTTATTTTAATAGATTAATATTAAAATAATATATTAATTTTTGAGAATTACATTGGTCAACGATGTTAATACATCAATCTCTTATCAGGCCTTATCCCTCATCCTTAGGCCGGATTAAGTTATACATCGTTTTGATGTATTAAAGGATTATGCTGTATAAGCTTATACTATACGAAGTTCACACCAAACAACTAAAAATGTCATAACGTATAACATAAACTTATACTATCATGCCTTATACGTCACACCAAACAATCCCTTATTGAGGTGATTGTGTTCAGATATTATGTCATGCATCCATAAATAAAGTGCATGCCTAATCACCAAGCATTAAAGGAAGAACACACTCCAACAAAGATTTTATATTTTATATTTTTAATATCTTGACTAGGTTCTCTTATAGTTATAACACCGAAATTATTGGAAATGGATCTTCTCATATATAATTTAACATGATGTCATGTGAGATGATCTTAACCATTAATAATTAAATTAACGATGTTGATTGTGTAACTTTTAATTCTTATATTTTTTTCTTTTCTCTCTTATCACCATTAACTCATTCATGTATAGTTGTATAGTTATGATTGCCCCATATGACATGGTCATATTAATTAACACTTCTGAGAGGATACACTCCCAAATTATTACGGTACTTCCGTCGCACTCAATACAATGGACCAATCAAAACTTGACAATGACTATAACATGTATACAGGAGAGAGAGAAATTATTTTTTATCCAAATACCACATTTTTAATGGAAAACATACATACTACAGGCGTATAGAAAATGCATTCCTATAAGAAATTGCATTCCTATAACACCCTGGCCAAAATTCTTAATTTGATATTTGAAAGAATTTCATTAATCACTTATTATAAATAAAGATATCCTAAAACTAGGTGTATATAATATTCCAATTTTATGTTCTTCCAGTGTACCAGTGCTACGATAACCTCACAGGTAATTTAATATTCTTCCCCTCCCGTTGTTTTTGTGTGTGATCTTTGCTTTCTCACTTTCATTTCTTATGTTAAATAAACTCATATTATAATGCACTATGCAGAAATGAGGCAGAAAACCAACAGTCACACTGTCCTTTACGTATTACTCCCAGTCTCACGACACATGGTTTCGATCAGCCCACAGTTGAGAATATTGATACCTCACCACCTCAAGTTGCAGTTCAGAAAGGTTATGGTGGGTACCACTGTTGGGCTAAACCTGTATCTGTTTACTTTTCTAAGTTTATGATTTTATGCTGATATAAATAAAGCAAATATTTCTGTAGAAGAAATTTATTACAATAACACATAAAATATTAGGATATATATGCGGATTTTGACTTTTTTTTTTTAAATATCAGTATCCATAATATAAATGTAATTGCTATAAAATTTCTCATTTACAAATTACAACAACACTACAAATGGGGAACCCTATAAATAAAGGCAAACTTTCATCAATGCGGAACATGGCCTACTACCCCAAAACTAAATAAAGAAACCCAAGTGTTTGTAGAAGGGGCCAGAGTTAGATTTAAATATTTATTTATTTATTCTCTTTTAGACATTATTAAATACTTAAAATTTTAATAAATTCACTTAAACTGACATTTTTGTGTTTGATATTATCATCACATCGTGCTCCATTTTAAGATAAAGTTTGGGCTTGCCAATTCAGGAGGGAGTCAATGCTGAAAATGCAATTCCTATCTGCATACCGCAATACAGTTAGCTTGATAGTGACTTCGTCCAGGTGAACCGTCTGATTTTGTTTTTGTCTTTTTCGGCCGAATGATCAATTTTTTATTCTATTTTATTTTTTTACCAAAGTTAATAGTAAGACCGATTGACCAAATACCCTCTCAATTTGTCGCGAGTCACAGGATTCAAGAATCAACGAACAAACAGGATCTTGTTGAAACTCTTCTCTGATTCAATCAGAGCGGTACGATCTTGCAGATCCATGATCTAAGCGTAAGAGCCACAGAGACAAACAAAGCTATTTTTTAACTTTTTGATTAAATCATTTAATTTTACTTTATATTTAATTTGGTTTTCATTATTTAATTTTTTTTAAAATTCTTTATTTTTAAGCAATATAAAGTAATTAATTTAATTTTTAAATAACTCAAAATGGTTTTTATTATATTTAATTATGTCACTTTAAATTAGGAATAAATTCGACTAAAAAAATCATTTCGCATTATTTAAAAATTATAAAAGTATTAAATTTTTTCATTTTTTTTGTTTTTTTTGGTTTTGTACTAGACAGCCCATACAAGCTTTATTCATTGTATCGACTACTAAGACACATACAACTGAAATATCATATAAGGAGGTTCTACATATTTCCCTATCACGTCTGAGAGACATAGACCCAACTCTTTTATAAATTTAAAATTTAAATTTATGTCTCATTAGACAATTATAATATATTAATATTATCATAATGGAGAAAAAGAATAGTGAACCCATACAGAAACATTCATGCTCTTATTACTATTATTATTCATTGATATTATTTGAATCCTTGATCGTAGAAGGGTTTTGACATCAAACAAGTACACGTGGCGAAAACGCGTTGGCATTGGAAGAATGGACGATGGGAAATCACTGCAGAAAATAGGAAAAAAAAAACCTCCCTTATTCGCTGACAGTATTGGCTTTGGTGGTGACCCTGACCCCTCAGTCAGCATCCAGTTCCTTATCTCCACGTCATCCTTCCCTCATCTGCATAGTTAATCACGCAGCTCCATCTAACGGTCCTCATTCCAGATCTAGACTCTTCCACTCGCCGAGCATAGATATAGAGAGAGAGAGAAAGTGGTCAAGTTCTAACTATGGTTAGTTTCCTAACCTGGCTCCACGCAAACGGGTTAAAGTAAGAACGTTCCAAGCGTTAACGAGAACTGAGCGAGCGAACCAGCTGCGAGAAATTCAAAGAAGATAAAGACTAGAAAGAGGAACATAGGGAGGGAAGGAAGGTTCGAGTTTTTTGAGTGCTGTTGTTGCTGCTTGGACAAGAAATCCTCCGAGTCAACTCGGACGAGTTGCCTCATCCTGGGACTCGGTCCCCTTGGTTTACACCCACCCCATTTTTTTTTCCGACCAAGGGTTTTGTTTTCTCATCCCGTTAAGATCTCGCTTAGATTGCAGCGAGTTCGAATTCGAAGCTCAGCTCAATCAGCGCTGTTCGATTTCATTCCCTTGTTTGAAGGTATTTTCTATTTTTTATGTAAAGTAATTGAATCATTGATTGGATCAAGTTATTGTGGAGGTTTCTTATCAGAATCCTCATTCATTATTCTTTTTAATGCTTGTTAATTTCCTGTGTATGCAAGGTTTAGTCGTAATAATGGCCGGTAAATGTTGAAAAACTGAAGCATAGTTAACTTTTGCATTTGTTTTTACTTTTTGAGGTGGAATGAATCTAGTCATCTTTCCGTGTGATTCATGTATGCGAGCTTGAATGTGGCGGTGAGTTTTTACGCGCTTTGAATTTTGATTTAACCTTTATATTTTTGTGCAGATTTTGTTGTTTTGCCATCTGGGCATGATGGCGTTTTTGATGTAGCATATCCCTAGTTTCCTGATTGATTAATGATCGTTGGGGTGGAATACATTGGTCTTGCACAATCACCACTCGCTGTGGAGTTTGTTGGCAACTACTGGGGAGGGAAGAAGAAGAAGCTTTCTTCCGTTGCTGCCTCTGTTGCCCTTTCATGTCTCGGAAATTAGACAGTCCTGTTCAGACCCAGATGGCTGTGGCATTGATAAGGGCCCCCCTTGGCAAGGAGTACCATGGGAACCAGAGCATGGGAGGGAGACAATCTACGGGGAGGAGACGTGTCTTTGTGCAAACCGAAAAGGGGTGTGTACTGGGCATGGACTTGGATCGTTCTGATAATGCACATACTGTGAAGAGGAGGTTGCATCTTGCACTCAATGTCCCCATAGAAGAGAGTTCACTAACTTTTGGGGATATTGTCTTGAAGAATGACCTTAGTGCCGTTAGGAATGATTCCCCCCTTCTCCTCACAAGGAATCTTTTGCACAGAAGCTCATCCACTCCTTGCCTGTCCCCCACCGGAAGGGATATGCAGCAAAGGGACAAGAGTGGTCCTATTGAGATCTTAGGGCAATCGAGTTGCCTTGATAGAGTGAAACATATGGTCAAGGACATTATGAAGGCAATTAAGAAGGGGATAGATCCGGTTCCTGTTCATAGTGGGCTTGGTGGTGCATACTATTTCCGGAATAGCAAGGGTGATAGTGTTGCTATTGTGAAACCAACAGATGAGGAGCCTTTTGCCCCAAACAACCCGAAAGGCTTTGTTGGTAAAGCTCTTGGACAACCAGGATTGAAACGTTCGGTTCGGGTAGGGGAGACAGGGTTCAGGGAAGTTGCAGCTTATCTTCTTGACTATGATCAATTTGCAAATGTGCCTCCTACTGCCTTGGTTAAGATTACTCACTCGATCTTCAATGTCAATGATGGGGTCAGTGGTAACAATTTCTCGAGGAAGAGGCTGGTTAGCAAGATTGCATCTTTACAGCAGTTCATTCCTCATGATTTTGATGCCAGTGATCATGGGACATCTAGCTTCCCAGTTGCTTCTGTGCATCGGATAGGGATATTAGACATTAGGATCCTTAACACAGATAGGCATGCTGGGAACTTGTTAGTTAGAAAACTTGATGATGGCATTGGGACTTTTGGTCAGGTGGAGTTAATTCCTATTGATCATGGGCTTTGCCTGCCAGAAACTTTGGAGGATCCCTACTTCGAGTGGATTCATTGGCCTCAGGCTTCAATTCCATTTTCTGAGGATGAGCTTGCCTACATTCGTAATCTTGACCCTGCTCGAGATTGTGAGATGCTCAGAATGGAGCTGCCCATGATTCGAGAGGCTTGTCTGAGAGTCTTGGTACTCTGCACCATTTTCCTCAAGGAGGCTGCTGCTTTTGGTCTATGTCTTGCTGAAATTGGTGAGATGATGACTAGGGAGTTCCGTGGTGGTGAGGAGGAACCCAGTGAACTTGAGGTTGTTTGTTTGGAGGCTAGGAAGATGTTGGTAGAGAGGGAGGAACTGTCTCCTAAAATCGAGTTGGGAGATGATGAAGTCCTGTTTGATATAGATTACGATGAAGTTGGATCGGATATCACTCCAAAGATGGCTATGGATGATCCTCTAACCCGAGCACCTTTTCAGCCTGCACTTGGGAATGGGCATTCTCGCAGCCCTCTTTCCAAATTGGATGAGTGCAGTGAGGAGGAAGAGGGAGAAACTGATGGAGAATCTCCTCAGGGATTTGTTACTTTTTCTGGACAAGAAAAAATTCTAACTATTTCAGATCTTTCTGTGTCTTTGAAAGATACCGTGTTAGACGAGAAAAACCAGTATCACCGGAAATATTCAGGAGGAAAAGCGGACAATGGCTATTTTGTAAATTCATCGTCTGGTCATAGGAGTGCCAATGATCAGCTTCCTGCAAGCATAAGTTTTGTGAGGCTCGCAGATATGACTGAAGATGAATGGACATTGTTTCTGGAGAAGTTTCGAGAGCTGCTGTATCCGGCATTTGCCAAGAGGAAATCCATAACCTTAGGTCAGAGGCAGAGACAGAGGCTTGGTACTTCGTGCCAGTTTTGAAGTTGAGCAATACAGATGACTATAGGATGAAGAATAAGGCTTTATAGGTTTCGGGGAATGAAGGATTGTTAGGATAGTTCTGGTTTATGAGATTTGTATGAGTGCTTTAGTTGGGAGCGAGGGTTGGAAGAACTGTTGTAAATATGCTTGACGTAAGTGGTGATTTGATTAGATGTCTGTATTTTGATATTTTGATTTCATTTCCTTTTTTTCCCCTTTCTCTTTTTCATTCCTCTTCTCTTTGACTTGTCTTATAAATAATTTGTAGGATAAAATTGTGAAATGAAAATTTTGTATATGATGAATGACGTGTACCTTCTTTTTTCCTTATTTTGATTCCGCACGAGTTTATTTTCTGGGAAACCCCATAGCTCTCTGGCTGGAATGCCAATTCAAGTTATTACATTTCTTTCTGCACTCTGAATTACTTTGAAGGATTGTTTAATTACCGATGGGTTGCGAGTTGGGAAGGATATCTCTATGGTTTCGAGCTTCTGGGTTTCGCAAAATCAGCTTGCTCTACTGTTAATTGTCAACTGATTGGGATGAACTGTAATAATCAATTATCCGTTTTCTAAAAGTAGTGCTGATGGTTTGATTTTTCCTGTAATATTAATATGTTTACGAACAATTCAATAGTTTTTTACAGGATAATATCAATATTTATTAAGTTTGCATAGACTACATGTACGCTGGTTTGATCTCCAATAATACATAGTATGTTTCTACATCGTGCTAAGCTATTCAGTATAGGTTAAGAAATCATCATTTCTAGACGACTTATGTCTCAAACTTCAAAAGTTTTATGCATTTAGTCGCTTCTTTATCTGTTAACACGTTGAAGATACTTGTTTTCTTTGATAAAAAGCGGGGATTTTTTGGTTGCCTGTGCCATGCTGCTGTCAAGTCCTGCTAAAGCAGCCACACCACACTTACTTTTGACACAGTTGAGTACCGGTGAAGTTTGAAGATTGGACATCAGTCTTTCTGATATTATATTAAAATTAATTGAGTGGCCTAACTCAATCTCAACAGTTAGCTCAAAATGGAAAATTATCTACATCGTTGATCATTATAAGAAGTATTTTACTCATATACATAGGCGATATGACATATTAACGACGAGTCGCACTGCAGAAGTCGGCTTCATCTTTCACAAGTGGCCGTCATCTAAATTCTTATTCAAGTTTGTGCCGTCGCAACGATTTGAACGTTTTTATTTCTTTATGGTGCGAGCAAGATAACAAAAAAGCAAGTTTTGTTTTCGATATTTTGGGTTTACTAATTTCATGCTAGAGCAAAATGTGACACAAATATGTGGGGCTTATAATATAAAAAGAAAAAGAAAAAGAAACAAAAAATTAACACGAAATCCTATAAATATATGACATAAGATAACTCTCTTATGTAATATGATGCTATTATTTCCCATGTTGTGGTTTGAAATGGACACAAATATTATCTTATGTCACGGTTATGCAGGAAAATTACACAGCAAAGCTGAAGTGCTACAAAACAAAGGTTGCCGATTGTGAAACAGAAGCTACACAGATATTAGCAACCATGTAACATCATATGGAATGGTCCCATTAGCCACTGGACTAGAATAGTTAACAGATTGGCCTTTCAACATCTCGAGGGGTTTAATGCAATTTATTGTCTCTTCAATTCTCTCTACTACAGGAAAAAGAGATAAGAAGAGAGTTGCTCTCTTGTTTCCTTTTCATTGTTATTGTACTACAATGACAATTTTTTTATACCCTGTGAAAGTGAACTGAAAATGACTAAAGATTGGTATAGATGTAACATATCATATCCTATAATTATGTTAAACGATTATTGGAGGTCAATAGAATTTACATTATACAGTATAAACGAGCAGATGATTCTACCATTCTCTTAGATAAGAAGCTTCAAAATCCCCCAACAATTATAATCTAATCTAGTTTCTGTAGACGTGGATTTTTTAAAAGGGGTGCTACACTATCTCTGGAGTTTTGCGTGTCGTCATCAATTTTGTTTTGGAGTTAGCTATAGATAAACGTAGAGATATGGTGAAAGTCTTTGATTATTGATAATCTAGTTCGAACAACTTTTCCTGTGGGCCTAATAGGATTTTGCATCTTATATAATCTACCTAGTTTAATAATAGTTGGCATTACGGGCCATAACTTGGTCATGATTTCTGCTGGAAATATTAGTTAAGCTGTTGTATTATTAAGAGTTTGGTCTGAAAGTGGAATCTGGAAAGTAACTTTGATGAAGTGGCATACTAATCTGTAACCATGTTTTCTGTAATATTTTATTGTTGCTTGTCCTTAGGCTTGACCAGTGAGGGTCTCCGAATGAAAAGCTTTTCATGGTTTGCATTGCAAGATATAATGATACATCAGTGGGACAAAAGACAAGAGGAAGAGTGAAACTGGGACTTGTCTGGTCGTTCCCTTAATTAACATCTCAAAGCAAAGTGATTGTAAAAGTTTCAACTCTACGAAATTGGTAATCAACATTCTGAGACTAGAAGCACTGGTTCAAAACCATTATTTATTCACTTTTGTTAGTTTTTGAGGGCGAACAAGGGGAAGTTAGAAGTATACAGGTGTTGAGATGCATGTGAGTTAGAGTAAGGAAGTGAGTTTAAGAAGCACTTTCTGATGTGAGCCACAGAAAAGAACAACATCATAGGTGAGGGAACTAGGAAAAGGTGAGTCAAGAGGAGCCAAATGCTTGTGTTTGACAAATCTTTGACGTAGCAACTCTTGAAGCTCAAGTTCACGGCAAATATAATTGAAAATTCCAGGAATGGGAATTCTACTTTATTCTTAACATAAAATATCTCCATGATGAGTTGTAAAGCACTATTTCTTACAATTATGGGCAATGAGTTGGCGTATACTATCATAGTTCCTATTTATGTTTTTCTTTCCAATGGGGGGAAACTGCTACTTTCATATTATAATAACTTTTGTATCTCTGTTTCATGGCTGAAAAGATGTTCAGTATTAACATCATATAGGCTTTTAGCCCTTAATATAGGGCTCTATTAAATTAGAACCTAACATATATCTTTGATCATCTGTCCTTAGTTCCTTCCTTGAACCACAAACACAACTAAATAAGGGCTAACAAAACAATAGGTCACATATCAAATTGTAACTGTTTACCTAAAATATTATCAGAATGTCATATCTCACAAATTCTTTATCAAAGTGTCACGTCATCAGTCTCGCTACGCCACGTGACGAGTTAGGATTAGCCACATAGCAGCACCTAGTTGGCCACGTAACTAGCTGTGCACTACATTAATTTAATTTATGTTAATTGAAATTGTTTGTAACAGTTAAAATTTTTAATATAATTGAGTAGTGTTAAAGAATTAAACTAAATTAAATTAATGTTAATTATTTTAGTTTAATTAAGTGTATATTAATTTTTAATTATTTTAGAATAATTAATTAGTTATTTTTAGGGGTGTTACTAAAATAATTTAATGTAGTTTGTGTTATGTTAAAAATTTGTGAACTGTTACGTTACTTAATTTAATCAAGGGTTGTTAATTAATGTAATATATTTTATGTTTGTTAATTGAAATAGTTTAATTTAATCTATATTAATTTAAATTGATCATAACTATTAATCACTTATTTTTTGGATTGTTAATTATTTTATTTAATTAGCAATATGTTAAGTTAAATTATTTGTAAATGTTAAGTAATTAAATTTAGGAGTGTTAAATTAGTGTTATTTAATTTCAACTTAATTTATTTTAAGTTAAATTATTTGTAGCATTTAAAATTTTATTAATTTAGTAGTGTTAATAAGTTAAACTAAATTAATGTTTGTTAATAATTTTAGTTTAATTTGGTGTATATTAATTTAAAATATTGACCGTAAGATAATGAATTAGTTATTTTTAGGATTGTTAACTCAATTCATTAAAGACGCCACGTAGCCAGCATTTTAGGTCACGTGGCAGATGGTGGCAGGTCACGTAATCTAGTCGCATTGCGCAGCTAGTTACGTGGCCAATCAGGTACTACTACATGACCAATCCTAACTTGTCACGTGACATAACGAGTGAAGCGTGACATTCTGATAATATTTTAGATAAACAGTGACAATTTATTCATTGTCTCACATAGCAATGGCTTTTGTTATTTTTGCGAGTTGCCCAATTGCCCATGAGGTCAGGACCCACCGGCCACTGGGTACCCTAATTGTTGTCAATGTGGTCTTTGGTGAAATGGATGCGTCCCTTAACATTTTGTTTCATCCTAAAAGGCTAGACATTACTAGTGGTAGGCATACTTCTCTCCCTTTGCTTCACCAAACCTTGATGGTCTGATTGATAATAAGTCCTTGAAACTTGGAAGTTTTAGAGCAGATTTATTATATGAGCTCGACTAACTTCTTCAAATTTGTTAAGACGGGGGCAAAATATCTAAAATGATACCTATAACTCTACGGCTATAATTGCATTGATGAAAAATGATGAAATGAAGTGGAGAATAATAGAATGAAATTGGCATTGTTTGAATTGTTTAAACTAAGATGGAATAAAATGAAATTTGATGAAATGATTTCGATTTCCTTCAATATAATACCCCTATTTTTCTTTCCTCAATTTGAAGTACAGGATAAAACCACTTTACATAATAATAATAATAATAATAACAATAATAATAATAATAATAATAATAATAAGGAAAAAATGTGTATCATTTTAAAGGATGTAAAATTGTGTTATTTTTCACCAAAAAAAAAAAAAAGATTGTGTCATTTTAAGTGAGAGAAAGAGATAGATAAAGGATAAGAGAGAGTGAACAAAAAAATATAAAGGTGTGAGTAGGGGTGTGCAAAAAAATTGGTTCACTTGCCCTGCCCTTGATCTGACATTGACCTAATCTATAAATACCTATTTTTTTTGAACTGAATTTAAATACTGACCCACTTTTATTTGGGTCAGTTTTAGACCTGACTTATTTAATAATTAACCCCTTGACCCATACCCATTATGTGAAAAAAAGAAAGAAAGAAAAAATTAAAATCTCAATTCTGTTTAAACTGTATTTTATTTTTGAAAAACACTGTATTTTATGCATACACACAGCACCAAGATGAGTGGATATTATATGACATAAACATCACGATAATGTGGTAAAGTTTCAAATTATATAATGATATCCACACAAGATGACCAAGGCAATGAAAAGAAATTGTTACACTAGTGTGAATAAAATACACTCATTAATGTGAAAGAATTAATTGATGACTATAATCTATTATCTAACAATGATTTATACCTTTGATTAATTTACATAAAAAAATGTGTATTAATATCGGGGAAGAACTTTTGAACTTGTAATTTTGCTATCTGATGGTAAAAGAGAAATTGTTAAGAACTCAGAACCAACTTGTTCAGAATGCTGAAAATATCCACGAGGAAGAGGATTGTTTTGATTAGTGAGTGGATTAATTGTTGCTGTTAGAGAGCTAAACATCTGATTTGAAAGTGGTGGAGAAGCAGAATTAGTATTTAGACTTTTATCATGTAAATCATCCATCTATTTACTTGTACTTCCTGCTAACTCCCTCTTCTCTCTCTTCTGTTTCCTTGAGAAGAAAATCAACCCACAAATTTGCAAAGCATTGAAAGGAGAATAGGAACTTATTCAAATCTAAATTTGTGATATGGAAAACTCGTCAAAGTTGATTGAGTTAAATGTGACAAGACCAATATGCAATGCAACGTTTGTAAAGAGCATACGGATCAATAAATAAAGGGAAAAATGTTTCTGCAGTTAATGCAGATAAATTATCTGCATCTATTCTCAAAACGACGTCGTTTTGAGATTGAAATCTTAAAAAATTATAAATATAAAGACTATTATAACCCTGAAATAAATTAAAATTACAAAATCACCATGATTTCCGCCCCAAAACGACGTCGTATTGGGCTTACTGCAGATAATTATCTGCAGTAACTGCAGAAAAAGCGTACCCATAAATAAATTACACGAGTTTAAAAATTAAATCAATAACTATAAAAAAATCAAATTAAAAACAGGTTTTGAAACCAAATCAGGAATGGGTCAGGTCGGATTTGACCCGATTTTGAAACTAAGTCAGATCCACTTTAGAAATCAAGTCAGGTCAGATCCGACCCAGTTTTGAACTAGTTCAAAAAAAAATTCAAACCAAGTCAAACCGGTTTGACTTGGAACAATTTAAAGCGGGTCGAGTCAAAGTACCTAATCTATAAAAATCAAGTTGGATCGGGTCGGCACAAAAATCTGACCCGACCTGACCCATGCACACCCCTAGGTATGAGTCTCACATCTTTATGAGAGTGAAATGGCATAAGTTATGTCATTTAAAATGACAAATATTTTTTCCTAAAAATAAAGTCATAACTCTTGTGAATGAAAACTTTATTCTATTTCATTATAAAATACCCAAACAATGGTATGATAATTTTACTCCATTCCGTCATATTTCATACTATTCCGACAAACTCATCAAGTCATCATATGGGCTCTTACTTAATGTTGGGCCTATGGGCTGACACAATAGGATCCCAATTTGGATTACAGCCCAGCTTGAGGATTTGGCAGTAGACTTGTGAAGCAGAAAAAAGGGGCCAGCTTAAAGAAAGACAAGATTTATATGTCCAACTGAGAAAGGAAACACCATACGGTTGGTGGGTAGAGGAAACTGGAAAAGATCATGAAACTACGTAAAAAATAGGTGAATTGGGAAGGTTGGATACATTTTAGTTTTATAAAGTATGAATATGTCATTCAAAGAAATATTTGTGATTAATAATTAGTGTAATGGGTTTTGATTTTTATCAATATATCAATTTGAGCTCCCCTTTAGAGACTTTTTTAAGTATGTCCAATATTTAAACTAACAAATAGAAAATCCTAAGCATCAGGATTGGCGTTTTGTGATGCTAAGACAGTTGCTATCGTTATTCAAAAAGAACTATGACAACCAACCATTTTCCCATCAGGTGAGGTTGATTATATAGATGAAATTAGTTTTTTGGTTGATCTTAGAATCATACAAAATGATTAAGAGATAATAAAAAGCAAACTAACTCTAATAGTAGTTGGCATCCTATATACTAACACTTTGAACTTATATAACATTTTCCATTCTCACTTTAATTGTTCTGATGCACTTATCATGTCAAACATGTAGTGTTAGAAACATACAAACAAGGCCTCAAGGCTGGATTCTGATAATAACTCAAACTGAAAGGCTAGTAGGCAACCTTTTTTAATTTATTGATAATTTCAAGCATGGCTTGATCAATATAAAATGGATGAAAAAAAGATGAAGAAAAAAGACCCCAAAAACCAAAAAAATAAATAAAAAAAGGCCCGAAGTAGAGGGCTGCAGAGCTTGCTTTTTCTTGTTTTTTACATGTATGGAAAACTGAATAGTTGTTCATACAAAAACCAACAGAAAAGTTATGCAAGTAAATCCGTGTATTTTTAGATATGTCTCCAAGGTCTTTCTGCTAGGCTTATACATTCAGTGTGCCTATAGCAATCCACAAGATGATCAATGGTCAATCCTGCAGCTTGCATAAAAGAGTAAACTAACACTGGACCCATAAATTGAAAGCCACGCTTTATCAAGTCCTTGCTGATAGCCTCTGCTTTTGGAGTCCTTAGTGGGACATTTCTTGGATACCTGTATCTGTTAATCACTGGTTTGTGATTTACATAACCCCATATATAGCTACTGAATGATCCATATTCCCTCACAATCTGTGGACAAAAGACCAATCAATAACCAAACTTAGCTATGAAGATCATGTCAAGGAAAACTAAACAGCAAAAATTTGGATAGACATTGATTCTGTACTTGCCTTCATAATGCATTTGGCAGTGTCTACAATGCATCTAACTCTGCAATCAGCTAACAAAAGTGCTTTGTTTGATGCTATCTCCATGATTTCCTTCTCCTCCAATTTGGCAACAGTATTAGGATCAAATCCGGCAAACACTTGTCTGTGTCAAGCATAATTGTATAGATATATTAATTTAATTACAAACCACAGAACCTTCATACAAATAACATTTTTCCACACACACAGCGTTTACCTAAGAATTTCCTTTCTTTTTAGAATTTCCGTCCAGTTGTAATCTATCAGCAATCCTGACATTGCAAGCAGCTCGAACAATTTGCTGTTTCATGATTCAAGCAATTAAGGGAGTTAGATCATACACATAACCAAATGTATCTAAATAATTGTGTTTTTTTAAGAAAAAGAAAAAGTTGTAATACACTTTAACATTGCTTACTTGTCATTGTAAGCTGGAACTCCCCAACACTCATCGTGAAATTCTATGTAAGCCTTATCTGCACAAGACCTTTTTATCAATTCTTATTCTAATTTTTCTCAGTGAAATTATTGTTAAAAGTCAACTTATACATAGCTAGGAATAGGTAGAGCTGAAGAAATGTTGGCTAAAGCTTCTACAAAAGTGGCATATTTAGATTTTGAGATGAATTTAATGACAGCTGGTACAATGTTGTAGTTATTTTTTATTTTTATTGTTCTTGTAACAAGTAACAACCCTCATTATAGTCAAGATTAGAACACACAGCTAGTAATTCAACCACTCAAGTAATAAAACCTTTTTATGTGTTTTGGCACAATGCTATTGTTATTATTACTTCTAATGGCCTTAAGTTAAGCAACACATAACAGCCAGAGTAACAGAAAAGAAATTGATCATACCACAGTTCTTTGTGATCCAGTTGCACCTTTTCAATTCACCAGGCTCAGCGGTCCATGGACTTAGTTGTTGCTGTGCAGTACTAGTAACTGGAGGTTCCCTTCTTTGGCGTGGAGTAATCAAATGAAGTGCTAATGAATTATTTTCATCCTCTAGAGTCAAATAATCTGTCAGAGAAGAGTCATTTGAATTTTGTGACAATGATGATGATAATGAAGATAAGGATGAAGATGACGAGCTTTTCTGTAGCTTAATTGGGTACACTTTCTTGTTGTTTTTGGTGAAAAATCTTTGGTTCAATTTCCGTGACTCCTGGACACTTGTTCTCTTCTCCATAGCATGTCTTAGAACTCTGCTTTAGACATGGTGGGGAAGTTGCTATAAATGGGAATGATGTTTAAATGGGTTGGTATTTACTGAAGTTGCAGATTCAAAATGAGATGGACAACAAGTAGGAGCAATTCGTAAGTTGGTTGGTGAAATGTGAGTTTCAAGTTTATTAAATGTTTTCGCTTCTTAGTTTTGAAGAAATATTTAAGCCTATAATAAAAGGGGAAATTGTCTGTGATGTGACTGGACATAAAGATTTTGTCCACTCACATTTTTTAACTATTGACAACGAGTAGTACATAATTATAATATTAAAATTGTTTTTTTTAACTATGGATTACGTGTAGTACACAGTTATAATATTAGAGTTGTTTTTTAACTATGTACTACGGTTAGTATATAGTTATAATGTTAGTGTCATTTTGCAATCTATTCTTTAATATTATAACTATGTACTAACTGTAGTACATAGTTAAAAAAATAATTTTAATATTACAACTATATACTACCCGTAGTACATAGTTATAATTTTTTGACCGGACAAACTCGTGTATCCGGTCAGTGTACATTCGCTTAACTCATAATAAAAGGGTTTGTCGAATATTATGTTACATCATGTAATTTGTGTCAACTCACCCCTTTTTAACTATATACATAATTATAATATTAAAGTTATTTTTTTTTCTCCTTCCACGTTAGTCGACAGCTTCTGACAAAGAGAGAAAAAAAAATAATTTTAATATTATAACTAATTTATTCTTCAGAATATATAATTATAAGAAGGTGACATGACACAACATACATCATGTAACATAATACTTATATTTCCTGTAATAAAATAAGAAAAATTATCTCTTGAAAATGGTATATATATATATATATAGGGTTTTATAAGAGTTATGTTGTAGGAAAAGTGATTGTGTAATGTTATAGAGATTCGTTTTGCGTGCCTTAATTTTTTATTTATTTTTTTGTTTTAAAAAATGTGGGCCCCACAAAATGTTGTGAGGGTAGGAAAGTTTGTTGTGTTATGTTAAAGGATAAAATGAAAACCCATATATATATATATATATATATATATATATATATATATATATATATATAATATATATATATATAATATAAAGTAAAATATTTCTCCAGCTACTTAAGATAAGCTTATCTTCGGCCACCCCTTATAACTATATATTTCGAGAAGTACGTAATTATAATATTAAAATTATTTTTTTTTTCTTTCTCCACGTCAGTCGACAAATTTATAGAGAGAGAAAAAAATAACTTTTTATTTTATTTTATTTTATTAAACTCATATATATACATAATTTTATTATTTCAAAACGGTTTTCTTTGTTTACTCTCAATGTAAACGGGGAGAGGCAAACATATAGTTGGAACGGCAATAGCACTCCTAATCAAAAGAAAGACCCTAGTCGCATTAGTTGTAGTGTTTGTCTCAATGCAAGGTTTAAAGGTCCATTTCATTCTTAACTCTCACTCCTATGCCTTTAAATCTGATACATACATGTAGCCTACATAGACAAAGATATGCCATCCTTCTTTCTTTTTTTGGTCTTTCTATCGTTTTATTTTTTTTAAAAAAAAAAAATAAGGTTCTTTAAAGAGCTTGGTGCATGAAATGAAGAGACTAATACTTTGACATGGTGGCTGGCTTGTATGGTACTTTTGTTATGGTAACTTAGGATTCTTGACCATTGAATATTATTGTATTGGGATTCACTTAGCAACTTTAGGACATAGTTGGTTTAAGAAAACGAATTTTTTTTTTTTTTTGTATCATTACTAACAATCACAACTTTTTTTACATAATTTTTTTAAATAAATTTTTGAAAACAGGAAATAAACTACCGAAAATAATGCGGCACTTTTTAATTATTAGTAAAAACAAAAAATGAATATAAAAAACATTTATTAAACCAAACAGATCCTATGTTCAGATTTTATCAAGACATTTTGAAGTAGTCTGCAATTAGGAGTTTACATAATTTGAGCTATCCAAACAAAGCAATGCAACTATGAGTAACACCATTGCCACCTTGAATACATATTTTGACTCTTATTTATTTTCTATTAAGTTCATATTCACCGTACAATACAATGCAATGATTTGGGTTTGTGTTGGACACTAATCCTGCGAATGGGTCAGGAGATATCTAACGGGTCAAAACTGTTTTCTGTTTTATTTTATGAGTTTAATGTCTTCTTGTAATAGATAAAATTATTTTTTATACATACATAAAAATATATGAAGTTTATATTTTTTTTTTCTCTTTATTTTTTTCATATGACTCCACATTAACCTACATACTTTTATTTATGTATAGAAGATAGAAATATCAAACTTTTATTTTAGTTGTTGGGTTAATAATTTGAGCCTCTTATATAGTTATGTACTGATCTATTATTAAATTTTCATTTTAGTTTATGATTATTCCGCAAAAATCTAATTTTACTGTCCTAGTTATACTCAAAATTTAATATTATTTGAGCTTTCAAATAATAATAATAATAAGTTTATTCGTCGAAATTCAACCGAGATATGAACTTTGTTATTTTAAATATTTTTAGCCTGAGTATTTGAATGAATTCAAAAATCAAGGGAATTTTCTTTTGCTTTTGCTTTTTTTTTTTTTCAGAAAAATGCTATAAAACTATTTTCTTGTAATACTGGTAGAAAAAAGAAAAGGATATTTAAAGATGTCAAATTTGTTTGTAATGGTTGTCATGGGGACATATTGAACCATGTACAATTGCTATTATCATCTTGACACAGGTGCTAGGCTTTGGTCATACGTCCTAGTTACTTGAGAGTATCATTACCTATGTCTTTCATTCAATCCTTCATGAGATTGTGATCGGTGGCTGCCAGTTCAAAAGTAAGTATAAATTTTTCAATTCTTATTGGCCTAAAGTAATCGAGTGTCAAAATGATTGTGGTTATGAATAGATGGAAATTTCTAAACTTTGGAGTTTAGTCATATAGTTGTAATACTTTCCCTTTCTTAAAAATAATAGTTGTTGAGATTCAAATGGGTTTATTATTCTCTTCCTTTGAATTAAAAGAATTAAATTAGGATTTATTCCTAGGGAGTTTATTGAATGTGCAGATAGCTTAACAAAATTAGGATTTAATCACAAGGGTGAAGAGTTTTTGTTTTTTCCCTCTCTCCCTATTAGTAATTATCTGGTTGGAATACTTTCTGTTCAAACTTGCTGATTGAGCATGTCTCTTTGAACATGCAACAACTATCAATATAGTTTCTCTGGACTAGACTCTCCCTTTTTTATCAAAAAAAATAAAAATAAAAATAAAAAATTAAATTAGAGAAGAGAAGGCAAAGACATGGTAAGAGGGATATAATCCGTGAGAGTGTGAGACAGTGCTAGTTCTCATATATAGCTGCTAACTGTTTTGTGTTCATTGGATTCCTGACTGAAGGGGACGGCTTCTGAAACTTTTCTGGAACCTCGATGATGGATAGAATCCAAATCCATCACTCAAGTTCTAGTTAAAAGGAGCAAGTGGGACACAATACTTGCATATTTTAGTTTTCTAGTTTTTCATGTCACATCTTTTCAATGTCAAACCAGTTTAACCTTGGTATTTATTCCCTTTTCCTTCTAAATTAAATTTTTTGATCTTGACATAATATAGAGATGGTAGTTTTAGTATCATGCCCGACAAGTAGGTTTATTTCCCTCATATTCCACCTTGAAACTATATTAGGAATACACGAGATTTAACGTAAAAAAGCTTAATTGATGAGGGAAAAATTATATGGAAGAGTTAAGGGGGCGTTTGGTACGCGGGATTCTTCAAGAATCCCGGAAAACTGAATTTCTCTAAATTTTAAATTTACGGATATTATCATAAACTGAATGTAAAAAATCATATTTTTGAAAATTAAAATTCCCGGCTAAAAAAAAATTTCTCCTGTACCAAAGCCTCCTAAAAGAGTTTTCACCGAGGGAAAGATATTACTTTTATGCATGTAAAAAGATAATAATTACATTATCTTTTGAGATAGGAGAATATATCGTTCTCTAAAATATGAGAAGTTCAATTATATTTAAATTTGAAAAAAGACACTTGCTTTGTTACTTCCTTTTTAAAGGAAATGGCGCAAAGAAGGGAAGAAATAAGCTTGAAATTTCCTTGAAACTTTTCTAGTTCCTCACCACAGACTTTCCATAGTCATGCCAAATTGTTTATATAGTATACTATAATTTTCAAATAACTAAGTACATAATTAATGGAAAAAGCTATAAACTTTTCTATATTTTATTCCTTCCTAGCTCTAAATCGTAGGAGAATCTGTTGGGTTTGCTCTTTTACTAAAGCCCAAATGGGTTATTAGTATGAGAAGAGCCCAAGGAACCTAGAGCCCAATGAGCTAGGGTTTCTTGGAACCCATATAAATAGTACCTCTTAAGTCATCAGCCTCCAAGGTCTTTTTTGTGAGAAAGAGGCAAGCTCTGAATCTAATCAGTGCCCACACACTTCCCCTTCCTCCTCGAGAGATAGTTTGGAAGATCTGCCACAGTCCAACTTCAAGAAGGTTGTTCGTGCTGCGGCGCTGAGGTGAGCTGTTCGTGAAGAGGAATCCTACAAAGGAAGATTCTACACAAGACCTGCGCACCGAGAGGTAATTGTGAAACAATGATGATTCGGTAAGCATACCAATGTACTAGGTCCTAAACCGCTTCCGCATAAATCTAAGTTTTCCTACAATTGGTATCAGAGCCTTGGCTGTATATTGGTATGTGAATCTAGTTTCACTATTCATGTAATTAGTTTTGCTTCTTGAAATGTGGCACCTAGGGTTCTAGGATTATGGTATGAATCTAACATGTGTATTTTATAATTCATTTTCATAAAAGTTTAAATTTTAATCGGTAAAAATGCTTTAATCCATGGTTAGGGTCTCTCGTGTATTTCTCGATTTGTAACAAGGAGGCTAATCCCATATGATTAGGTTTCCTCCTTGCTGTTTTTATTTATTT